CCGCCGTGGGACTAGCACTAGTGGCGGGAGCAGTGGCTCTGATTTGTTCATTCACGGCGAGACCGACGGCGACGCCAGATCGGCGTCGCAGCCTGCTTAGCATTGCGTAGCATACTGCTGCTGAAATCCTCGAGTCCTCCTGCTGAGCATCCTCCCTCTGAACGCCATGCCATCCGCCCCTACCTCATCCTCGATCACCTCCTGCGACGGCGCCATCCTGGGCCATGGGCCCCATCCCTAGACGCCGCCGTGCGTGCCAGGCAGTGGCGGCCCAACGGCCCGCCCACTTTGGCCCGCAACTCACGGCACGCCCGTGCTGCCATCATTATCCCCTGGCGGGTACCACGACGAGTCTTCGGTCTTCCAGTTCCAAAAGTACACGCACAGGAAATCATCTGAATAATATGTCATCCAACCGTCAGCCATCTGCTCATGGGTCAAGAAAGCATAGTGGGCCCACTTGGCACCGTACACTTCCTCGACGGCCGGCTGTATATGCAGCACGTGCAGCACCTGGGGAGGCGAGCGACGCGACAGAACAAGACGGATCACCAGGCAGCTGGACAGGGCGAGCGGGACCAGCGAGGGGGGAGGGGGGGGGCGAGCGAGAGGGTGAGCGAGCAGGCGAGAGAAGTCGAGAGAGCGCGGAGGCAACGAGCAACGAGAGACGGCGAGAGAGGGCGAGGGGGAGCGCCCGTAAGAAGGTGGGAGAGAGTGCAAGCAAGAGGGCGAGAGAGAGAGAGAGAGAGAGAGAGAGAGAGAGAGAGAGAGAGAGAGAGAGAGAGCGCGAGCGAGAGGGCGCGAGAGGACGCGAAGGGTGTGCCCGAGCAAGGGGGCGACGGTAGACGGGCGGAAGCGCGCGAAGGCCCCAGGGGCATCGCAGGAGAGCGAGAGGGCGATGGCCCAGGAAGCCCACGCGGGAGGGGCCTGGACGCAACGAGAGAGAGCTGTCCAAGACATCGGAGGGCGTGGACGGGTGGGGCGCCGCACTCGGTCGGGCGGAGGCGCGGTGAGAGGCAGAGGGCGCGGTGGATGCGACAGGGGCGGGGGGGGCGGGGTGGGGGGCACTGGGCGAGACGCTAGCGGAGAGAAAGCACCTCGGGCATCGGGCGGTCGTCGAGCATCTCCTCTGCAGCGCCGCCGGCGGCTCTGTCGCCAGGGCCCCCGCTGCGGGCGGCCGCGGCGGCCTCGCCAGACTCGCCGTCGCCCTCGCCACCGCCGCCACCGACGCGTCGTCAGCACCGCCAGTGACGTGCCCCCGCCGCCGCCGCCGCTGCATCGCCGACATCATCATGGTCGCCAGCATCGCCGACGTCAGCACCGCCGCCGCCGACCCATCGCCGATCTCACCCTGGTCGCCATCAGCGCCGACGTCAGCACCGCCGCCGACGCATCGCCGATGTCACACATGCCGCTAGCATCGCCGACGACGTCACCCACCAACGACGACGGCGTCGGCACTGCCCCGCCTGCGACGGGCGGATCGTGACCCAGGCGCCGCTCTTCGCTGGCGGTGGGCTGAGCGTCGGCGGATTGCCAATCGTCGGCGGCGGCTCTGCGGCGCCAGCATCGGCAGGCTCCGCGGCATCCCAGGGCAGCGGCGGCGGTGGCCGCTTCGCAGCGGGGCCAGTCAAGACCCGCTCGACCTTCGGGTGCGGCTTCGCCAGGTGGGCGAACTGCGGCGGGGGCGGCTTGCGAATGAGCAGCGGCGGGCCATCGTGCTCGCGCTGGGGCGGGGGCGGCTCGCCAGCAGCTGGGCCCGCCAAGGCCTCGGGCGCCATCGGCTCCCAGGAGCTCGCCGCCCCCGCGCCCGCAGCGTACTTGGCGGGGGGCGGCTTGACGGCGGGGGCAGCCTTCTTCGGCCGCGGCGGCGGCGGGCCGCCGCTCCAGGGGTCTGTGCCGTCAGGCGAGGTCGCCGCGGCCGCGGCGTCCTGAGGCGGCTGCTGCTGCTGCTGGGGAGGCGTCACCAGTGTTGGCGTAACTGGCATCGGCCAGGAGACGCTGGGGGGGCTGCCTGGCGGCGGCGATGGGGGCTCACTCGCATCGCCTGGCGAGAGCGTCGTCAAATCGGCGGGCTCAAAGTAGCCTCCGCCATAGAGCCAGGCCAGGTCCGTCTGCACGCTCGCCTCGCGGGCCACAGGAGCGTTGAGCCAGGTCTGCGCCGCCGAGACCTCCGCTGCAGGTGCCGCTGGTGGTGGGTCCGTAGGCTCGGACTGTGAGGACTGAGACGCCAGCTCTGACATGGGCTCATTGTCGGAGTCGAACTCGTCGACAGGCACCGGCAGCGTCGCGACGTCAACAGGGGCCGCGGAACCGCCGTCGCACTCGGGCGCCATCGCGCGGCAACGGCCAGGCGGCGCAGAGGCCGCGCAAGCCAGGGACGCCGCGGATTGCGATGCCCAGTCGCCTGTGAGCCCAAGCAGCAGCGGGAGGCGCCGCGCCACGGCTGCCAGCGGCTGCGCCAGACGGACGACGGCGACGACCTCCGACACAGCGAACGGCCCACACCGACGGACCGTTCACGACGAGCAGGCGCAAAGGCACGGACCTGCGGAGCCACTGCGGACCAGGCCAGGACCGACCGCGAGCGACCAGGGGCGACCGATCGACCAGGGGCGACTGAGCGTTCTGGAACGCCCTGAGAGAAGGCCGCGACGCCCGATACATCCTCCAGAGCCGCCGGATCTAGGAGATTCTCGATTCATTGTCACCTGCGTTTGTCCTCGTCATGGCTTAGCGTTGGTTTCAGGAGCGGAGCGCCTGGAAGGAAAGAGAGGGAGGGACTAGAGCGGAGAGAAAACCAGGGGGCCAGGAGAGGGAGGAGCGGCGCCGAGGCCTGAGTTGGCTGCTCCGCCTCCGGAGCCTCCTGCGCCGCCGGCGCCGCCGCCGGCGCCGCCGCCGGCGCCGCCGCCTGCGGCCGCCCGCCAAGCTCCGCGGCCATGGCCGAGGCCTCGCCGCCCGCTGGCGCCTCGCGGGAACGGGAAAGGGAAACCGATCCCCATCCCCAGCGGCGCGGCCTGGGCCCCGCTGGCCGATTCAACCCCCTAGATCGGCATCGATGCAAACCGTTCCCTTCGGGCTGCGGCTCCGAGGGGTGCATCCACAACCAGGGGGGTGCAGTCAACCAGCACAGTAAGGAAGGGCGAGTAAGGGCGCAAGGGCCTTGGGCGTCCATCGCGAAGTTTTTCTAGCGGGGCGCGGCCGGTGAAAGTGGCCGAGGATGGAGCGAGGAGGCAAGGGTGCAAGGGTACCCTTGGGAAGGTTTCCCATCCTTACTATTCGGGTTGACTGTTATTTGGTGATGGCCTCGAGGGGAGAGGGGATGGGCATGGGGATGGGCCGGGGGTCGGTCAAACGATACTGTGCTGAGTAAAGGCAGGGTGGGGAGCAGCTGTAGGCGGTTTCAGACACATGTATTTTCCCAAAGTCCAAACGCGCTGGTCGTTCGCGACGCGTCCAGCTGTCGCGACGAGGGGGGGCCGAAAAGACAGTCGGTGTCTCGAAAAGCCTCGCTCCAAGTCTCAGCTGCAATTGAGCAGGGACCGACCGCCCTGGCATATCATATCATATCCATATCTATGGGCCATGCCTATCACGAGATGTTCTCAGAACCCAAACATGTTCTGATAGATAGCCAAACAATGTTATTGCAACGTAATCCCGATGCGATAAAACAAAACATCCCCAACCAGAAATACTATAAGAACAATAGGCAAGCCAGGACGCTTCGCCACAAGTCGACCTCCCTCGCCAGCGGCAGTGTCTTGGCCCTCCTGGCGAGCGGGCCGAGCCACATCTTCTCCTCGGACTCCTCGGCCTCGACCGCCGTCTGAGCCTCGACCACCGTCTGAGTCTCGGGCACCGTCGCGGTCTCGTTCTTCGCCACCTCCTCCTTCTCCTCGTCGACCGGGCCATTCTCCGCCGCCTTGTCCTCCTTGTCCTCTTCGTCCTCCATCGCCGCCTCTCCCTCGCCGAGGAACTCCTCTCAGTCGACCTCCGAGCCTGCGCCGTCGGGATCGACGTCGGGCTCCTCGGCGGCCGCGGGGGCGGCCGGCGCTTCGGGTGCCTCTGGCTGCGCGCCGACGGCCTCCGGCCGCGCGCCGCCCGGCCCCTCGGCGCAAGCCTTGGGGCAGCTGCGGCAGCGACCGACCGCCCTGGCCGTCCTAGAGCCTATTAGGTGTTTGCCACTTGTGACATGTTGTTAGAACCCACGCATCATGTTACGGTTCTAAGAGCAAAACAATGTTTTTAGAACAAAAGCCCGATGTGTTAACACACGACGTCCCAGCCAGACACACACTACACACATTTAGTGAAACTCGCAAACAGTTCTTAGAACATTGTTTGGTAAGCTAGGCACGCCGGGACGCTTCGCCGCTGCCCGCCTGCCCCCCTGCCGTCGGCGCGCCCTCCGGCTCGGCCGCGCGCGCCGGCGCGACAGGCGGCGCCTGCTGCGGCGGCGGCGCCGCCGACGCCGCCGCCCGCGGCGCGCCCGCCGGGCGCCACGCAGGCCCCGCCTGGGCGGCGGCAGGCAGGAAGGGGCAGGGGGAGGAGGAGGAGGAGGAGGAGGAGGAGGAGAAGGAGGAGGAGGAGGAGGAGGAGGGAGGAGGAGGAGGAGGGGGAGGAGGAGGAGGAGGAGGAGGAGGTGGAGGAGAAGGAAGAGGAGGAGGAGGAGGTGGCGGAGGAGGAGGAGGAGGAGGGGGGGGAGGAGGAGGGGGAGGAGAAAGGAAACAAGGAGAGAAGAGGAGAGGGGAGAGACAGGCGCGGGAACGAGGAAGCCAGAGGGCCGGGGAGAGGGAGGAGGGGGTGGGGAAGGGGAAGGGGGAACAGCAAAAGAGGGCTAGGAGGGCGAGGAGGAGGCGGGGGGGAGGGGGAGTCGGAGGGCGTCCTGCACCATGTCGCCGTGGGAATCCATGAAGGCCCTGACGAGCGGGTGGATCCGCAACACACCCACCTTGCTAGCCACCAAGCGCGCAGCGCACGATCACCTCCTCGCGAACCTCGCCCTGGCGAAGCGGACGCCACATCGCCAGCACCGCAGTGCCGCTCCCGGCGAGGAGTCCAGCCCGCTGAACGGCGTCGTTGCTGGCCGCTGGGTCGAACCCGAGAGCGCCCTCGCACAGGGCGCGCACGTCGCGGACAGCGGCGCTGTAGAACCACTTCATCTCGGCGAAGATGGCCCTCATGAGCGGCGCCGAGCACATCGCGACGACGTCGTCCTTCTTCTGGTAGAACTCGCCGGCGGTCTCCGACATGAGAGCTGCCAAACCCACCTGCTGCGCGGAGCGATCAGCGCCGAGGGCCACCCGGGCCACGAAGTCCACCACCGACTGCCGCAAACCAGCCTTGTCAGCGTCGTGCGCCCTCTTGCACTGAGTGACCAAATCGATAATCCTCGCGTGTAAATCTGACGATATCCCCGACCATGATTCAGCGAACTCCATGATCTGCTTCAGCGTCTCGCCCTGATACACCGCCGCCTCGAGATGCTTCATCATGCTCGTCAGGCCGTTCATTTCATCATCTTCTGACAGGTCGCTCTCGACGGCGGGCAAATTCTTGACGAGGTGGTGCCCGCTGGTCGGCTGCTGCTTGAACCGGGCAAGCAACGGCGCCCACGCCATCGCGTCGATGGAGACGCCGCGATGCTCGGGGTCGTCGAGGATCGAGGGCGAGGGGCAAACGAAGCCCCTGTAATGGGAGACGAACGTGGAGAGCACCTGGGACGCAAGAGCCGCGAAACAAAAACTCGGGGCGGATGGCCCCGCCCACCTCCTCGGGGGAGGGGGCGGTCGGGGAGGGGGGGGAGGCGGGGGCGGTGGGGGATCTCGAGAAGTGGGAGGGAGGGAGGAGGAGGAGGGAAAGGGGGGGAGGGAGTCGGAGGAAGAGGGGGGGCTTTCGGCGGAGCTCCATCGCCATTCCCCCCCCCCCCCCCCCCCCCCCCCCCCCGCTTCCCCCTCCTCCTCTCCCAACCCCGCCTCTCTCCTTGCCCCTCGCGTCGGCTCCATGGAAAGTTTTGCCCAGAAAACGTTGGGCTCTCACCTCGACGACGTTGTCCGCGACTGCCACGTCGCCTGGGATCCAGGTGCCAAGGAAGCGCTCGACGCACACCGGCCCCAAATCCCAGAGCTGCTTAGCCTGCGTCTTGAATTTGGCCATGACGCCGTCGTTGAAGATGTAGCAGTTGAGGCGCTTGCTGATGACAGCCCGGACCTTCGCCTCGAACTCCTTCGCGTTGTCGTCGGGGTTATTCAGCATGGTGTGCTTATCGTCGTTCTCGTCGTCCAGCAGCTCAACCAGCTTCAACAAGACGGGGTCGCACAAGTCAAAGGGGGCATTGCCCAGCAACGCAGAGACCCCGGCGATCACGCAGCGGGTGTCGACGGAGATGGCCGCGCAGGTCGTGGTGAAGCCGTTGGTTTGCTCGGCGGTCGCGAACTTGGGGAATACAGTGTCGGCAATGTCTGGAAGGGCCTCCATCGTCGCATGCGTGCTTGCCAACTGCCACGCCGCTTGCCGCTGATCGTCGATCTTCAGAGTTCCCGATGCGTCGTTGCATATCTCATTGAGAAGAGGCAGCGCCGGCTTGAAGATTTTATCGATCACCGTTTGGATAGACCTGACGCCGTATGCCGACATAAAAGAAGCCCTGGCGTTCTCGAGGAAGTCGCTCACAGCAGCCAACTGCACCTCGTTGGCCGCCTTGAACCGATCGGTCATGACGCCCTGGAGCTTCGACAGATTCTCCTGCAGATTCTGAAGCACCGCGACTTGGTCGGAGTCGATGGTGACCTTGTCCTCGCAAAGGCCTCTGAGGGCGCCAACCTTGCCGACGTCCTGGGTGAGCTTGTCCAAGGTCAGGCGCAGGCCGCTCTCTGCCTTCACCGCCGCAAGCTCGTTGTCCACCTGTTTCATCAGCAGCAGGCCCGTATCGAATACCTTCATCGACCTGGCAAACTTCGACTGGTTGTCGCCGGCCTCCTTCGAGTACGCGTCCTTGATCTCCTCGATCTTATCCAACTCGTCCGCGGACGCCTGCTTCACCAAGGCGAGGGCGACCCACCTGGAGAGGTCGCACCGGCAGCTCGACTCGGGCATGTTGGGCAATAACTTCACGACCTCCGTGGCGAACTTCGCACAGGCGTCAACCATGCCGCTGCCGCGGAGGAGCTTGATCACGGCGTCCACGAGGAAAGTCTCCTGGAACTTGATCGCATCGTCGGGGCTGATCTTTTCGAGGAGTACCTTGGGGAGCCCACTGTTGCTCGGCGAAAGGCGACTGACTGCGACTTCGTACTGGCCTTCGTTAAATGCACTCCAGACACTGTGTCCCCACACGACGCCAATCGTGATCATCGGTAAAGAAACCATTACACGACCTTCCTGGTCAAGGCTGTCGCGAGGGCCAAACAGACGGCCAGCTTGTCGTGGACGATGCGCATGTCCTCGTAGAGGTCCATGCCCGTCATGTCCACGCCGGCCATGGTGCTGGTGAAACGGCCTGCCACGACGTACACGTCCACGAACTTGGGGACCATGGCTTTCTTCAGCCCCTCCAGCGAGGTCTTCATGCGCTTCGGTCCGATCAACTCCTGCTGTCGCTGGAGGTGAGGGGCATAGATAGGGGGGGTAGGCATAGGGCATAGACATAGGGGGGCGCATCGACCTGGAATCGGCGGTACATTGTCGATTCGATAGATCGGCTATAGGCCCCCAGTAGTGAATCCGCGCCTTCCCGCGCGGGCTGGGGCTGTAGGCTATCGGCTATCGGGCCCCATTTGGCGATCAATGGACGATTCAGGGTCGGTGCATCCCCCTTATGCCGCATATGCCTATCCCCCCCCATCGGTGCCCCCGAGGAGGTCGGGGGCGGGGGAGGTCGAGTCAAAGGAGGGAGGACGACGACGACTGTGTTGTGTCCTCGTTATCCACTGCCAGGTACCCGTTCAGTTCCTGCTTCGCCGCCAGGAGCGCCCGCTCCCCAGCGAGCAAGATCTTCAGGGTCTTCTGGTCTAGCGAACCCGTCGGGCCGGCGCCGCCGCTGGACAAGCCTCTGCCTCCGCCTCCGCCGCCTCCGTCGCCGCCCCCACCACTGGGCCCACCTCGGCCTCCAGCGCCGCCCCCGGGCCCGCGACGCCCTCCGCCGCCGGCGGCGCTGGCTTTGCCAGCGGCGATGGGCAAACAACAATCATCGAATACCCAATCGAGGTCGTCGTCGTCGTCGTCGTGCGAGCCGGCGGTCAGCGCCGAGTCCTTCATCGCCAGGAAGATCGGGGCATCCTTATCTTTCTGCGTGAGCTTGACGGCCATCTTACCCACTAGCATGTCGTAGAGCTCCTTGATTTGTTCATGGCCCCTGACTGCCCCGTCAGAGTCGAGCTTCTTATTGTACTCGACACCCTGGGAATGCTTCTCCTTGAGCTTCCAGGTATTGAGGGGCCTGCCATGTTCCTTGCCCAGGATCATGCCCCTCATCTTCTTGTTGTTGATCGTCTTGGTCACGATGGCCTTCTTGTCGGGCTTGGTGCCCTTCTCCCTCAGGTACACCCACTCGGGCCAGAAGATGCCCAGGTTCTCCTCCGCGCCCAGCGAATGGGAGTCCTTCATGACGACCTCTGTCTTGAAGCCACCTGGTATGTCCGCGGAGAGCTTCACGATTGCCAGCTTCGGGTTGCGGTGCCTGTCCAGCCACAGAAACCAGAGCAACATGTACTTCTCGTAGAACTCAGGCTCCTGAGGCTCGCCATTCACGAACTTGCGCCCATTCACCATGCGGTCGCGGTCGACGCCTTGCATAGCCCAATTCTGCATGTTGCGGCACACCAGGCACCCGAGCGCACCCTTGCGGCCGACCTCCAAGAACCTGGTGGCTCGGAAGGGGAGGGGGGCCGAGCCGACGACGAGAACGACGCGGCCTTCTCCTGGGCCCCTGGGGCCTGAACGCCTCAGCGTTCCGAGCCGCGCCCAGCCGAGGGGCCCCCCGAGGGCCGAGAGGACAACCGCGACGACGTCGAGGACGAAGACGACGGCGGCGACAACGGCACCACGACGCGACGACGAAGACAACGACGACAGTTGCGGTGTTGTTGTTGTTGGTGGTACTGTTGTTGCTGCTGCTGTTGTTGTTGGTGTTGTTGTTGTTTATTGTTGTTGTTGTTGTTGTTGTTGTTGTTCTTTTTGTTGGTGTCGTTGTCGTTGTTGTTGTTGTTGCTGTTGATGTTGTTGTTGTTTGTCGTTGAGTCATCCCCTCAGGGAACGGATTTTTCCGATTCTGCATCGGGTTGGGCGTCTTGCGGTACTCGCAATGGCAGAAGGCACAGTCGCCCTCAGGCGGCTCCGGAAACTCGGGCGTGGCAATCGGCAGAGCCCACTCAGCCTTCTCCCTCAAGTAGGCAGCCAACCTGTCCTTGAGATTGGCCACGAAGTCCGGCGCCAAGACCATCGCCATGTTATTATGCCCTCCGCCCACCTGGGTCGCGATGTCGTCGCAGCCAATCCCATCGGCTTCAAGCTGATCCCCCAGCAGCTCAGTGAGACGACGCCCCCCAGATCGGACGGATCGTCCGACGCTCCTGAGACTATGCGGCATGGACCTCGCGACCAGGCGGCAATCGGCCCGAGGCGGTGCAGGGTGTGGGGGGGGCAAGTTCGTTCAAGTCGGGCTAAGATGTGCAGCCTAAATCGGCTGCGGGCGAGAACGGGGCCAGTCGGGGAGGGGAAGCGCAGGAATGGCAGGGCGGGGCTGTCATCGCCCACTTTCCGCGAAGGATTTCAGCAAGCTAGGCCAGGAGCAAATTACCCCCCGTGGCCGCGGCGATCGGCGGATCAAACTCGGCCCCTGGACCCCGTGGCCCAAGTGCGCTAGCGTCCCGAGCCGCGCCTAGCCGCGGCGACGAGCGGAGTCTTCCGCTCGAGCAAGGACCCGCGCCCCCCGAACGAAATCGGATGGTGCAACGTGGCAGGGAGGAGGGGGATAGGATAGGGGAGGGGAGATGGGCCGGCCCAGAATGGGCGAGGGAGAGATTTAGTGGGAAGGCGGAGGACGAGGATGATTCAGGCACATATCCAATTTAGGTCCCTGCCCGCGCTGCCCTGTGACGCAGGCGCCCAATCCCTCGAGCGCTGGGTCCCTCGCTGCCAGGCAGCGGTCTAGAAGCGGGCGACGCGGGGGAAGCGCCCGCGGCGCCCCGCGGGTGATCAGCGGCGGGAACTAGCTGGCCCCCTGAGGGCCAAAATCCATTGCAATTGGGGCGTGGCCGAGACTCGAAACCGCACTGATCAGGGAAAACAAAACCACTCAAACACATGTGAAGGGAAAATTCACGACCGAAACGTCGGGGGTTTCGGCCTCGCCTGCCCAACCTGGCCCAGCCTGGGGGGGTTCCAAAAGGTGTTTTCGGTGAGGGGGTTTTCAGGGGCGGCCATGCGCATCGGAACCTCGTTCGAACAAATGGGTGCGAAGCCCCTGGGGGGGCCATCCTGGAAAACCGCCCCCCAACAAAAAGATCATTTGGAACCCGCGGGCAACAGCTCGCGCCACCGCCGCTCCAGGGGGGGGCTGCAGCGGGAACGACGGCGCAAAAAAAAAAAGCGCTCTAGACGGCCTGCCCCATGTCCTGCCAGGGCGCGACCTGGTCGCCAGCGTGCCAGGGAGCTACCACAGGTCGTCGAGGCCGTCGTCCTTGCTCTGCAGCAAGGGGCTCTGAAGCGTGACAGCGCCAGACTGATCTGGCACGAACCTCACGCCACGATGCCGAAGGTATGCGACGCCAAATGTGGTCATGGAAGCGATCATCGTTGCGGCGGCGACGCCGCTGTGGAAGGCGTCCCCGGCCAACTTGGCGAGCGCGTCGGAACTGTGAGCCGCGGCCTTCGCGTGGCGCCCCTGGTAGTGAATGCCCTGGAAGGCGAGGGCCTCAATGCCATGCATGAAACGCGCCCGGTCGCTGATCCACACCTCCTGTCGGGGCGTCGCACATGCCAGGATGCTGTCGCCAGACGACGTACACTCTTTAGCTCGACCAAGGCTCTGGGAAAGATCGATGAGCCTGCAATCAGTGGTGACGGGGAACTGGCTGGGGCCCGCTGCCAGGAGCAAGACATCCAGCTGCCGCTTGACCATCGCGCGATAGCCTGGAAACTGGGCAGCTGCCTCCAGCTGATCTTGAGTCAACGTCGACGCGTGGATCTTGGCCGCAAACGCGTCGGCATGCTTCCGTCTCCACTTCGACGACCTAGAGGCCTCGACGTCGTCATCTGCGGCCGTCTCCCATGGAAATGGTCGATCGCTGGCCTTGGAGATCATGTCCGTGACGAGGTCGTGGGAATCTGGAAGTAGGAGCACGTGTCCAGGCACCATGCTGTGATCACCGAAGCGGCGCAGCAAGTTGCCGATCCAGTTGTAGGCCTCGCGCTCGGTCAGGCCGATGTCCGCCATCAGTGTCGAGCGAAACCCTGGTATCCAGAAGCGGGCCCTGCTCTGTGGGGAACCGTACAAGCGAGGGTCCTGGAGCGTGGCGACGCAGAAGTACCCAGCCTGCTTCATGTCACACAAGACCTGGGCCAAGTTGGACTCGTGGATCGTCAACTTGCGCTTGTTGCCCTCAGTGTCCTTGACGACCGGCGGGTTGCCCAGCCCCTTGACGTTCTCGAGCAAGACCATGTTGCACGGCTTGCGGTGCGCATTAGGGCCGCCAGCCCCTGGTTCAGCCCGCTGCTTCAAGATGTCGTAGATGCCCCCGAAAGCCGATCCCGTCGCCGTCCCCCTCTTTTTGACCACGTCACAGTACTGCTGCATGTACATGTTCATGAAAGAGGCTTGTGTGCAGGGGAAGCCGGCAATCAAAGTGTCGAAGTCTGGAACTTTAGCATCAGGGACGTTGTGATCACCAGCGGCGCAGTTCGGAACATCGCCTGAGGACAAGTCACACACGTCAGAGAACAGCACGGGCACGTCGAACATTGTCCGAATGAATGCGCGAGTGTCCTTGTTCTTCTCGCAGCTGAAGACGTGGTCGACTGACATTTGGCCGCCGCTCTGGAGCCCCAAGGCTTCGTGGGCGCCGATCACGCCGGCGTCCTTGAGATGCTGGATGGACGGGCCAAGCACGCCGCAGCACACGCACGTGATCTGCTTGGCGACCAGCACAGCGACGTCCGATCCCGAACACGCCGTGCCTAGCTTCAACGGGCCATTCAAGCACCAGACATCACAAGCGACATTCTCTCGCACTCAGAGAGGCGCTCGATGATGTCGCGAATGAGCTGGTCCAGGTACGTGTCTGGCTGCTGGAGCCTCGGATGGGCGGCGACAGTGCTGTAGTAGGGTGGTCGCAGCAGATCGTGCACTGGGAAGTCACGCAGCGGCGATGGGACTGACGGCGGAAGCCCAGCCAACTTCAGCGTGGCCTGAGAGTCAGCCTCCTCGTCCTCAACCTCCTCCTCGGCCTCCTCCGCGGCCTCCTCGTCGGCGTCGTCGGCGTCCTCCGCGGCCTCGTCGTCGCCGAACAGCTCGCTCGCCAACTTCGCATCCGCTGGGGTCAGGCCGTCGTCG